TTACCCTCGTAACTACCGATACATTGACCTTAGGCGCATCAGCGTTCTGTAACCCGTGCGCCTGGTGGAACAAAATAGATATTTTCGTATAATTATAATAGTTTGTAAACGGATATATATTATATAAGTATACGCGACAAATACGATGGTAATTGTCCGTCTAGACACTCATAGACGCATAATATTGCTAGATTCTGTTCGCGTAGAGGATTATATATGATATGTACGGACTTCAAATATTCCTATCCCGTAGCGCCCTCTAGCGCATTCATATCGTAGTTTTTGCCTTAACCTATCCGTCGCGAATAACGAAGACAAATAAATACTTTTGATGCAAAAAAATATGGTTGGGTGTTGGCACCACAGATGAAAGCGGGACTCCACTTTTACATTCAACCACCCCCCTGTCGCCTATCCCCACCCACCACTGCCGCCCACCCCAATTACCACTGTTCCCCACCCTCATTCACCACTGCTGCCCACATGATATCATTGTTTCTATGCCATTGAGACAAGATTTCACCTCCTGGATCCGCAATGACACTGTTAACTGTTGTCCACAACAGTTGTACTGAATAAAACTGCTAGATCTATTATCTATTGGAATAGGCCTGTACTAATACCCCCCCCCCCTTCCTGTATTGTCTGTATAATGGTGCTCAGAGTGATAAATATGTATATGTGCCTGTACGTGAGTATCGTGTGTGTATACGTAGTATTTCTATTAATATATCGAGCGTGCTCGCCGTGTTTTTTCACACACACACACACACACACACACACACACACACACACACACACACACATTATATTTCTGTGCATGTGATCTTTCACTACCTTCGCTCTACTGCCTCCTCCTGCGCTCGTCTATTAATTATAAAACTTTCCTATTTCAAATGTCACCGGGAGAGCACACTTGTTGCCATGGGAACGTTTACTGAACACAGGGTCGCCGCGCATTCTATACGGCACGAGTGAGATTACATCTATATGCTAAACATAGTTGCAGTAGCATTCAAGCTGCACTCGCATGATCGACAGACATCGTAATGAAAATGTAAAACTTGCGCCATGCATAAGGGTTCCTGGCGATATACTCGTGCGTGCGTGCGTGCGTGCGTGTGTGTGCTTGTGCAGTTTCTCAGAGTAGCATCATCACTCTTAATGGAAGCGAAACGTCGTCAATCCATCGTACGAACACGGACGCACGCAGCGCCCCCTAGTGTGCGCCGATAGAAATGCCGAACATCTTGAAAGTCTTCACATCGCGATGACGTCATCATGTCCGTGAGCGCGCTGGCAGAGCGACGACATCGTCCGCAGCTGTCGACAGTGCACGCCGACGACGCTCAATCAACACGGAGCCGCGGCTCCAGGTCCCAATGCATTGTCTTCCGTTGATCGATAAATCGATACGGCGCCGGAAAACTGACGGAAAACTTCTGACCGGCGCGTGCGCATCCACGGCACGTGACGACACCGCGTGTGCTAACTATAGCACAGGGGGAGCGCGCGGGTGAAGAGGAGGAGGAGGTGGAGGTGGGTGTGCACCCTTGCACCCTTGCACCATTACAAACACCCTTACGCGGGTGGGGGGGGGGAGGAGAAGGTGCATGGGTGTCCTGTACTATGCACCCTTACCATCACATACACCTGCACTAACTATAGCACAGGGGAGAGCGGGTGTGGGGAGGAGAAGGTGCATGGGTGTCCTGTACCATGCACGCTTACCATCACATACACCTGCACTAACTATAGCACAGGGGAGAGCGGGTGTGGGGGAGGAGAAGGTGCATGGGTGTGCTATACCATGCACGCTTACCATCACATACACCTGCACTAACTATAGCACAGGGGAGAGCGGGTGTGGGGGAGGAGAAGGTGCATGGGTGTGCTGTACCATGCACGCTTACCATCACATACACCTGCACTAACTATAGCACAGGGGAGAGCGGGTGTGGGGAGGAGAAGGTGCATGGGTGTCCTGTACCATGCACGCTTACCATCACATACACCTGCACTAACTATAGCACAGGGGAGAGCGGGTGTGGAGGAGGAGGTGGAGGTGGGTGTCCTGTACCATGCATCCATACCATCACATACACCTGCACTAACTATA